GGGGGGGGGTGAAGAAACGAGGACGACTAATACGACGACGGAGACTAAGAGGACGACGTATATTCTCGAATTAGGGCAATCACTTATCGTTTAACGTGCGCGTCTCCTTTTACAACGATACTACAGTCGACTCTCTGTATGCTCGCGCAACCGGGGCTCCGAGAGACGGCAAGTACAACGACAGAGCGATGTTACGGAGAGTGTCATCCTCCACGTTAATAGAGCGAACGTTCGATAGAACGGGGGTTCCAGGCGCCCTGAGAGACGGAGGAGTGGGGGGATGCCTTCCCCTCGCGGGACGATTCGAAAGAGAGCTCAGGGGAAACGCGACTATAAGGAACCCGCCGCTACAGCCAGAGTCGACTGTAAGTGAGAGCGTAAGAAAGGAGGTCGGGGGGAGGAGGAGGAGGTGGAAAAGCTGTCTCCGTCGTTAAATCGACCGTAAAAAACTTTTTGAACATCACCTCCTCTTACTTGAACCACCCCCCCCCCACGCTCCCGCCCCCTCAGGTTGGCCACCCGACCCGTAATGCCTGTTGGCCCTTTGCGATTCTTTAGACACGAACTGTTCACCGTAGTTACCTCTCCTCGCCTGGATACTGACGTACTTATCTCCTGTACCTATGAACCCCCCCCCCCCCACGCTCCCGCCCCCTCAGGTTGGCCACCCGACCCGTAATGCCTGTTGGCCCTTTGCGATTCTTTAGACACGAACTGTTCACCGTAGTTACCTCTCCTCGCCTGGATACTGACGTACTTATCTCCTGTACCTAACCTAACAATGTTTACTCAACCCTTATGCGAATCTAAGGGTTGCAAAAGCACTTTTGAAAGAGACCACGTTTGCTTTCTTCGAGAGGGGATATAACGAAGCTTGTATTAGACTTCGTCTACTGCACTCTTTGTATGCATAACTTTCATCCCTTATATTTATCGTTTATCCCCGTTTCAAACGCTTCTTTTTGGGAGTTGTACTATTCCGATGTTCCAACGTTACTTTTATTTAAAAACTGTACTCGCGCTCTTAATGGAACGCTTAATAAAATTTTTGCGACATACCCTTTCGTTTTGCCTTACGACCGTACCGGACACAATATGTACGTATACCATGTGCATGGGTCTTCCGTACGTCAGTGTAGTGGAACGAGCCACAGGGAGTAACAAAGCTGCAACGCGCTAAACGGACGGTCAAAGGGCTTAGTGATAAAAGCGAGGAAACAATGCAGTCATTTTGAAATGTACACAATGCCCGGCCGTTTATGCAAACGGAACGCCGATTTCAAACTAAATTACCGATACATTCCGCGTGCGTCATCGGTCCAATGCGTTATGCGCTTTCGACGTTGTAAAAGCTGCGCGATATCGCAGCTACGATTTCACACGCGTCCTACCGTATACAGAGAAATTGTGTGTTTGACATGGAGAGATAAAGAAAAGAGAGTGTGATACAGTGGAAGCTGGTACATGTATGCGTATACACGAGTGCACAGAGTATAGAGCCTATAACCGACTAACAACCACCAGCAATAGCAGCAGCAGAAACAGAGGGTTAATGGCATTGTTTTTGTTGCGCGCGACGTCCAATTTCGAGCTTCTGAATTTTTAATACGACAATTCGGGAAATGGCGGCTTTTGCCGGCTGACTCACCCATCTAACTTGCGTGTGTATATATATATATGGACACAGAAAAAGTTATATATATCCCTCTGTATTACATACCCTGTATATATTTATATATTTTCTTACTATTACCTTTTCTAGTTCTCCGGCAAAATAAGTTACCAAGCATCCCCAAGGTATACCAGCCATCGAAAAACCAACCACCTCTGGCTGGAGGCTGCGCGCGTTTGTTAATATTGAAATTCAATTAGCGCACACATCCGGTATTTCGGATTTCAACGGTCCCTTGGGTTCGGGCGCTTTTGTCGATTAAATTCCTCAAGGGTAGGTCGGGTCCGCGTAACGTGGAGCAAAACGAGAATTAAAAAAAATAGTGAGCCCAAAAAGAATTGGAGCCGGGAGGGAAAGAAAGCGCCAAAGCATGTTACTGGAGAGCGTCGAAGCAACCCCGATTGCCTTTGGGATTCGAATCGGTTACCATTGTGGATCCAGAACCTGCTGTGTATATTTATATTGGTAGGTACAATTTTGCACACGGATATATGTATACACAATCTTTCAGTAAAGTTAGGTACCGTCTAGTGGTGGGTACTTGGTTAGTACGAGGGTAGATGGGTACCCAACCTATACTGTCCTGCTATACGATTCCAGTGACAGTCTCGTAAAAGGGTAAAGTGCGTCCTGTACGCTCACAAGAAGCCGTAAACGAATAGCAAAATGTGAGACGACCTGTACGATTGAAATTCAGTAGTGTTCTACGGGCAGCGCGAGCGCAAGTGTGTGTGTGTGTGTGTGAGAGAGAGAGAGAAGAGGGATGTAGCAAACAGCCACTATAAACTTTGAGGAAAGGGATGGATATTAA